TGTGGGAATGGAAGAAAAGGTAAGCAGAGATATTTTGAAGAGTATTTAACAGAATTTGGTGAAAGGCAGACTGTGGGGTCAGGGAAGAGGAAGACTATAGCTATCAGGAGTATAGGTTCTGTAGTCAAGACTATCTTAGATCAAATCCCAGATCCACTGCTATGCAGCTTTATGGCCTTATGCAAGTTAGTTAATCTCTCTACACTTCAGTTTTCTTCTCTGCATAATGGGGATAACAGTCTACATCAAATCAAACAGGATTTGTGTTCAGTAAGCAGTAAGCAATCTTTAATGAGATTAAAGAGATAGAAAAGATCCATCTATAGTTGATACATAGATCTTATTATAGAAGAAGATGATGAAAGAGATTTAGTTTGGGATAGTGGCACTGACAGGGATTAGAAAATTAAGGGGAGAGCAGTTTTGGGAGGGAAAATTGGTAAATCCCAGACACAGTCATGTTAAATATGGTGTAACATCAAGGTATGAGAATAAAATGGTCTACAGACCTATGAAATCTGGGACCAGAGCGTAAGTGGGATCCTGGGCACAGGGCTAAATATATAGAAGTTATTATTGTGGAAATAGATAGAAAACAGATTAACTCATGATGGGGGAAAAAATAGAAGAGAAGTGAAAAGAGGTCTGAGGATTCAAACTTGAACACTGCCTGTGTAGCAGTCAACCACCCTACACTTGATTCAATCTTGTCTTCCATTACTCAGTAATCCCTTGGCCCACGTTGTTCTTATTATCAGACTAACCACCATTTACTGAATGCCAACTGTGCTTCAGGCACTCTATCATGCACTTATCACCTGCTTTAGACCTCAAACAAACGTAGGAGGTAAGTATTATTATCAGCATCCTACGGACGAAGAAAAGGAATCTTAGGTTTAAAACTCTGCTTAAGACCTCACAGTGAATGAATGGTAGATTTGGGGGTGGTCTGATTCATTGCCCAGGCTTATCCCACTGCCAAACATAATGCTGCCTCCCAACGTTGGTACAGTTTTGACCCCTTACCCAGACTGAGGGCAAGGGCAAAGAATTTTCCATACACATTCTTAAAGACATGGGACTTTCTATCAGAATTTCTGAGTTATTACAATCCCAGCCCGATTTTTTTTTTAAACTGCATCTTAGTGACTTGTTCGGTCTTACATTGCGTAATTGCCGCTGGAATTTATGAAATATGAAAAACAGATCTGGGACTCCGTTACTAATGTGGGGGACCCCCAGGACGGGAACGAGACCCTTTACTAACCAACTGTGGAGACTAAGTCACAGGGTAAAGGTGTCAGGAGGCAAAAGCTGAGTTGGCGTGAAAGGGAGCAAAGAAAGTTCTGTAGCTCTCCTCCCCTCGAGGCTCCCCTTCGCCTCTGCGAACCTCAGGAACTCAGACCTTCACTCGCCTCAAGGAAGCCCCAACTCCTCACGAAATCCCCAAGTCGCCAAGGAACTCCCTGGTTCCTAGGGAACCTCATCACAGAACCCACCTCATCACAGAACCCACCTCATCACAGAACCCTCCTCACCACAGAACCCTCCTCACCACAGAACCCTCCTCATCACAGAACCCTTCTCCCTACAGAACTCCCATATCCTCCCGGAACTTCTTTTCCATCTCCTCAAAGAACCTGCCTCTTCATGAATCTTTCAACCTCCCAAGAGAAAACCCAACTCCGCCAGGGACCCCGATCTCCTCACGTAATCCCCGTCCCCCACGCCTCGTGCCCAATTTCTCACTCTTCTGCAACCCCCCACTTCTCTCCTCACTGACCCCACCCAGGGCCGCCCGGGCCTGGCCTCACCTCGAGGCTCCTCCACAGAGCGCCGGTGCAGCTCGCGGTAGCGCTGCAGCGAAGAGACGTGCGCTGAACGGCTGACCTCGGGCGGCGGAGACCAACTCCGCACCCGGCTCCGGGGTCCAGACTCCTCCCGCTCCCCGCTCCCACTCCCGCTCCCGCTCCCGCTCCGGCCCCGCTCCTCCGGAAGCCCCATAGCGTCAAGTTCCGAGCGCTGTAGCAGCCTTTGCGGGTAGCTTCTCGCGCCCAGGAGAGGAAAACAGGCTGGCCCGGGGGCGGTGCCTTACGGGAGGAGAGGCCCGGCCGGCGGAGGCGTGGCTTAAGCAGCCTCGGCGGATGGCGGCCCGGAGGGGCGGAGCCATGCTCGATGGGGTCAAAACGAATGTTAGCAGTGACACGGATTGGGAAAAGTCGAGTATTGCTTGGGGGTAGGGGCGGAGCCGACTGCGGAAGGGGTGGAGCCACAGGGGAGGAGCTGAAGGGGCGGGGCGCGTGACAAGAGAGGTTGGCATCTTGGAGTGACAGAGGAGGGGAGGGGCCAGACGTGACAGTAGAGGAGGTGGGCCCTCTCCTGTCATGGAGTGACAGGGAGTGGCGAGCCTGGAGGTGACAAGAGAGGAGACTGAATCATGGAGTGACCACAGTGGGGTGGGGTCTTGGAGTGACAGATGAGAAGTTGGGTTACGGCGGGGCTCGAGCGGGAAAGAGCTGGGCAACCGAAAGGAGTTGGATCTGGCCCATAATGGAGACGCCCCGTGATCTGATTGCACAAGCCTGTCACTCCACCGATTTGGAAAGCCAGGTGGAATAGGGTCCTTTCCGGGTGGCACTGTTCTCTGAGAACTATCCCCCAATTCTGAGTAAACCACTCCCCTCTGTCCCCAGGAAAAACTCCTCCCACGACGTTGAGGGCTCGGCCTGGGGACAGGATGCCCTCTCTGCTAACCTTGGGGCCAGCTCAGAATTTTCTCCCACCTCTGAAGATATGTCTTCACTCTCCCTGCCTCCACAAATTCCCATATAGATCTCAAGTACAAGACGCAAGTGAAAACTAGGAGGTGCTTTTAGGTCTTTGCTAATAAACACATCTCCTCATTATGCAAATAATGAACTCAGGGAAAGGAAATAATTTGTGCAAGGTCACAGAGAAAACAACAACCAGGTTAGGACCAAACCTAGGTCTTCTGACTCCCCTTCATCAGGCTGAAGGTAATGCTTGTAAAACACTAAAGTCTATGCAAAATAGGAAAACTCACCCTTCTTTCCTTCCTAATCTTTTTACTTCACCAAGAAACCCCTCCTACTTGTCACAACTGGGCTCAATTACCTCTGACTTCCCTCCATCCCTTCTACTACAGAAAGGAGAGGCCAGACAAGACCCTCTATCTCCCACCTGCACTCACCACCAAGAAGGGCCCTCCCCACCCATCAGTTCACAGAATGGCTGTCAAGGTAGGAAGGATCCTTAGATATCTAACTCCAAGGGTGATTCTGAGGGTCAAAATGGGCAGCCCCACCCCCTGAAGCCTACACAGGGCTTGTGACCCCACTTGGCCCAGGCTATCTTCTCATCTTCTCCTTTGTTCTTTGTCCAGCTAACCACAAGCCCAGAACACCCTAAATTGAAAAAACAAAAACTCCCCACCACCAGACCTATGATCCAGAGCCTATTCAATCCTAAAGTGAGAGTCTCAGGGCTCCCTGAAAGGGTACAAACCTCATGGAATGGACATGGACCCCACTGAGGAGACAGATAATTCACCAAGAAGGCATTGACTGCACTGAAAAAGGCACACACACTTTACTGAAGGTACTCCATTAAGGGAGCACAGATTTGCTGAGGGATCTCAGATCTCACTGAAGGGTTGTGGACCCTGCAAATAGGACATAAAATGCATTGAAGTTCTCTGATTCTATTGAGGGGACATGGACTTCCTCCTAGGAGATAGAGAAGATATAGGTTTTACTAAGGAGACATAGACTCCACTGAGAGGACTCAAACCCCGCTAAGGGGCCTCTCACAACACTGAGGAAATGGACACCACTAAGGGATCACAGACCTCACTTAGTGGAGACTACAAGGGGGATCAGACTTCCCTGAAGCATCACAAGCCCTACAGACCTCACTGAGGAGATACGAACCTCTCTGTAGGAAGGAAGGCACACGCAATGGGCACACATTCCTAGTATAGACAGTCATCTCTTCCCCTCCCTCCCTCCTCAGCCCCCAGTTCTCTCCAAGCCCTTCTCCTAAGTCCTAAAGCTGTTCTCAATACACTGATGTCCTCTGCTGTCTAAATATGGCACTGCAGCTGCTGGTCCCACAGCAGTTTTTCAAATAGTCCTGGTTTTTATCTCTGAGCCTGGATCCTGGGGTTGAGGAAGGAGAGGGTGTGTCCCCAGGGGCTTCACCAGCACCCCCCTCCCTCTTGTTTGTGGGCTGTGTAATGGAAGTTTAGAAAAGAGGCCTCATAAGGGAGAGAACTTCCCTCCCCCATCCTTAGAGATGGGGTAGTAATGCAAACTATAGTGTAGTCAGAACTCTTCAGGGTAGGAAGAGGATGGATTGGGTTGGATGGGATGAGAATTCAAGAAATTAAGGAAATAATGACAATAATCATAGTTATGACATTTATTAAGTGCCACGTCCTATACTAAGCATTTTCTGACATGTTATTTAATCTTCACAGCCATCTGAGATGAATACTGTTATTCTGTTTTACAGATGAGGAAACTGATACTCAAGAAGATTAAATGTCTTGCCTAAGATGACATGGTTTATAAGTGGTAGCACAGGGAATAGAACCCAGACAACTAGACTACAGAGACCCATTCCTCTCCCATTTATCCCTCCCTCTCAACTCCTGCCATACCATCACCACCATTATTTCTCTCTCCAAGTATCCTTTCAGAACCACATCAAAAACTCTTAAAATGATGGTAAATATTCAGATTGCAGAGACCCCATCCCAGTCTATGATCCCACACTCACACTGCCCACCTGCAGGTCGACTGCAGGCTGACAGCGCTAGGTGGAGGAGGGGTGTGCAGTCAGACCCTACGCCCGCGGGGGTTGTGGTGAGGCGCCCCCTCCTGGCTGCCCTAGAGCTCAGGCCCCGCCCTCCCCCACCCCCCTCGCCCCCGCCGCACCACTTCCGGCAGGCGCTGCGCTGCTGGGGGGCGCGGGCGAGGATGGCGGCGGAGAACGAGGCCAGTCAGGAGAGCGCCCTGGGCGCTTACTCGCCGGTGGATTACATGAGCATCACCAGCTTCCCGAGGCTGCCGGAGGACGAGCCGGCGCCCGCGGCCCCTCTGAGGGGCCGCAAGGACGAGGACGCCTTCCTGGGAGACCCCGATACCGGTGAGGCCCGCTGGCCCAGTCCCTGCCCCCTGGGACGTCCCCGGTCCTCCTCCATCTGCGCGGAGCATCACCTCCAGTCTCCATCTCCCTAATTGATCCCCTTCCTCCTGGACCCCTCCCTTCTTCTCCCTTGTCTCTGTTAATTATCTAGAGAGGTTGGAGATGCATTTCTGCTTTGGAGGCTTAGGATGCGACAGGGAAGAATGATGCCAGGGATTGCAGTAGCAGGGATTGGGGTTACCTCTTGGGAAGAACCAACTAAAAAGGAAGGAGTTTTGGAGGGAGGATGCTAAGAAACAGCTGTGATCACCCAGAAGAGGCCGTTCTTTAGTCACAGAGAACAGACTGCAGCAGGATGGGTAGAGGCTAGGTCTTGGGAAGAACTTCCCACAGCCAAGGATTGTGGGAAGGAGAGACCTTAGGGAGCAGCTGAGGATCTCTTCATGTCCCTGGAGGGGTACAGAGGGCATGATTCCCGTCTGTTTGTGAGGGCTAGGTATTGGGAGACAGGGGGATGGACTGCATGACCTCTCAGAGTCCTTGGAGACCAGAGTGCCTTCTCTGCCTTGTGGATTACCTCACCCCTCCCAGAGCCATGGATCAAGCCAGGATGTTAGTAAGGTACCCTGCCCCCTAGGAAGCAGGCTCCAGAATTTTACTGTGTTCTTGGCCCTCTGCAGGGACTGCAAGGGGCAAGAGTAGGGAGGGGGGAGACCTGAGGGCCAAGAGGTCTCTGAGCATTTCTTCCCTAGGGCTCTGCCTCCTATCCATGTGGCCCAGCTCTATCTTCCTCTCCATTCTTCATCCTCCATCCCCCATCCTTCTTTCCCTCAACGTCACTTCCTGGCATTAGAGCATCCTTCTGCTTAACTCTGTCTTCCTCCCAGTGCCTGCACTTGAGCCCTCTCCCTTACCAGCCTGGCAGGCAGATCCTACTTCTCTGACCCAGCCTTCTCCAGCCTGACCCTTCTGTAGCTATTCCCAGGCTGAAAGCTCCAAACTCTTCCCCCTCCACAACTTCCCAGTCATCTGGCCTTTACTCACAGCCCCTGCCAACCTAACTAGACTGTACCCTACCTGGAGGGGGAGGCTTATGGACATCACATGTCCAAGCTGCAGATCAAAACTTCTTTTCCAGAGGGAGTAACCCTGGAATCAGGAGGTAACAGGAAGAGTAATGGGAAGATGTGTCCTGGTGGATAACAGCCTGAAACTATGCCCTTTATTCAGGGGTCAGGAGTGCCACTCCTGATCTCAGCACTGGCTTGACTCTGTATGACAGTGGGCAGTCCTATCCTGACCTGGGCCTTAGTTTCCTCTTCTAGCTCAACTGGGGATGTCTATCTCTCTTAACCTAGAGATTGGAAAACCCCTGACATGTTTTCTCCTAGCTCCCTATAAATGTCTTAGCATTTATCAAACCTGTGATTATTTGAGCAGTCATGTGATTACTCCATATTTGTAAGCCCTATGTGGATGGGATCATGACTGTTTTGTTCACCATCCTTTCTCTACCGTCCAGCACAGTGCTAAGCACTAATAAAAATTGTTGTATGAATAAATGAATGAGAGAGATCTCAGGATGAAAGACTAGCAGGGGAGGGAGTACCTTGGGGAGTTAATATAGATTCTGCCCTCATCTATACAAAACTCCAACAGAGACCCTTGTCACCTGAGTTTCTTGGAACCTGCACCTTATGCCACACTTGTACACTAAAATTCCAAGGACTCTTACCATCATACCTATGTAGTCATTTCAATGCTTTGTCTCAGAGCACAACTTCTAGGCCCCAAGGCTTCTTTGGCCAGCTGGACTAGCCTGTTGGCTAACATGATCTCCTATGTTATTAACCTGGTGGTGCCACTTACTGGCACTGTCCCATCCTCTTAACCAGGACTTTGGTTGTGCCCAACTAGCCTCTAGCCTGCCACTCCCCAGAACCAAGTGCCAGGTACCCTACAACTGACCCTGGAAAAAGTAGAGCTAAATGGTGACCACTCCAAGGTTGGGGAAATTCTTGACTCTCTCCTGAGCTTCAGGCCCATGTGTTCCTCTTTGTCGCAGGCATCTGCCTCTAGATGTCCTGCAAGTGCCTGACTGTCAGCATGATCTATGTTGAATTTATCATCTCTTCCCCATACCTGCCCTTCCCCCAATGTCATTCTCAATTAGTGACACTGCCATTCGTCCAGTCTCCAAGGTAGAAGCCCAGGAGCTACCCATGATTTCCTTCCTTCCTTTTATTTCCAAATGGTGATCAGATGCTCTCTGTCCTTCCAAGTATCTTGCAGATTCCATCTCATCATCCTGCTACCACTACTGTAGACTAAGCCACCATCCTCTCTTACTTGTATTACCCATAGGCTTCTAGATACTACCTGCCTCTTCCTCCCCTCTGCCTCCCCAACCCCAATCTATCCACTACCTTGAACTTCTGTCATGTCATTCCTTGGTTCAAAAATCTTTAATGATTCTGCCCTTAAGGAATAAGCAAGCCAGAGATGAACTCAGTTTCTAGCCAAGATATCGTTCCTGAGCTCTAGACTTAGCAAGTCAACTCTGTTCAGTATTCTTTTGTCAGAAACTCAGCTAAAACTGAGCTAATCTTAAAAGAGAATTTTATTTGATAGCATAACTGAAACATCCAGGGATATGGGGCCTCAAGTATAGCTGGATCAAGGCACCTAAAAAGGAATTGGCTTTCATCTTGTGGGTCAACATGTCCCCAGCAGCAACAGGTTTACCCCGTACTATCTTAGCAATCTAGGCAGAAAGAAAGCTTTCCTCTTTCCCAATGGTTCCAGCAATAGAACTAAGTTTTAGTCTCATTGAACTGGTGCTGGTCACATGCCTGTCCCTGAACCAGTTACTGTATAGAGGTACCTGTTCTGATGGGCTAGACCTAGGTCATATACTCACTCTGGTCAGGAATGAGAAAATGAGGAATGAGAGAAGGGAGATGGTATTTTCTAAAAGAAAATTGAATGGAAATGGCATCTAAGCAGATAAAAATCAAATGCCTACTAGGCCAGTTGCCTCCAGACAACTGCTAATGTCCCACAAATTCAGAATCACCAAAATTAAACTCATCATCTTTCTCCCAAAAGACTTATGTCTTCTGATTCCAAACTAACCTTTTCCCAGTGTCCTGCTGTTGCTCTTACATATCAGTAAAATCAATGGTTTTATTGCCCTAGTGCTTACACAGTAAAGTATTCAGTAAATATTTTTGTTGAATAAATGAATAACTTAATGATTGACTGGTGGAATAAAAAGTCTTGCATGAATCTAACTCTAATGAAGCCATATCACCTTCACCTCCTGGTCCCTCATAGCTGATTGGAGAAAACATATTTAAGGACAAGCATCAACTAGAATTAGCTTATAAGGTTGGCTTTTGAGTGTGGAAATGGCTCCTGCCTTGTGGAGCAATGGAAAGGAGGTTTTGAGTTACTCTTGCTTCTGTCATTTATTCATTTTATGACCTTAAGTGGGCAGCGTCATCTTTCCCATTCCCAAGTTTCCTCATCTGCAAAATGGAGAGAATAGGCCTATCTCATAAAGTTATGGGAATGCTTCAGTGAGGGAATGTGTATAAAGAGCTTGGAATATAGTCAGCATCAATAAATATAAGTTCAAAACCATTTCCTGCACTTCTTTTGAAACCTCCAGGGACCAAGGAGAGTTCTGTGCCCACAGTAGGTATTTAACATCTGTTTGTTGAATGAATTCCAGTTTTATTTTTTATTTATTTATTTTTTTTTAAATTTTTTTTTTCAACGTTTATTTATTTTTGGGACAGAGAGAGACAGAGCATGAACGGGGGAGGGGC